GTATCCCATTAAACATTGGTTACTTACATAGATTCTCCAACTTTACCTGTGTGGCTTTTATTCTGGATGGAGATCACTAGCTTTTTACAGACTTGTATATAATCATTCCCTCCTCTTCACTTTTGAAAGATTGTGAGCATTTTTGGGTCCTGTATCTAGGTAAGGATGTGCTGACTTGGAGCAGTCCAGAGAAGATTCACAATTATTATCCCGGGATTGACGGGCTCATCATATACAAAGAGACTGAGGACTCTCAGTCTTTACTTAATGGTATGGAGGTGCCACTCTCAGAAAGGAGTGGACAAGATCCAAAATCACATGACACCAAGTTATAGTCCAACAGATTTATTTGAAAACACAAGCTTTCCGAGCCTCACTCCTTCTTCAGTTGTTAGTGAGAGAGGATAGTATCAGACACAGAATTTATAAGTAAAAGATCAAATGGTCACACCACTGATGAGGATGTACTAAACAAACCGAGCATGCTGCTAAATCTTTAATCAGTTTAAAGGTTTTAACTGATAAATATATACATGTAAATCCCCAAATTCCTTTCAAGTCACTGTCCTGAGAGAAGTAAAGGTTTTATCAATGTAAAGAAAAGGTGATATTTTAGCTCAGGCAATGCATGTTAGGTGTGAGGCCCTGTTTAGAATCTGTTTTTGTCTTGGTTTGGAGTCAGTCTATCACATGCCCCTGGATAACCTCACGATGCTGTACTTCTCTATCTTCTGCTCTGAATATATTAAAACAGCCATCCCCTATGGACAAGCCCTATGCATACACAGGATCCTTTTGGATGAAGAGGAACGAAACATGCACCTGAAGGTGTTGAAGGACGCCCTCATAGGAACAGGATATGACACTCAACTCATTGAACACCAGATCAGACATGCCATGGTGAAAAACTGTAATGAACTCCTCAGAAGACAGACACAAGATATGTCCGATGGGGTACCCTTCATCGTCCAGCACTTCCTGGGAGCAGAGAAACTACGTCAAGTTCTTTGCAGCGTTCAACACATTATCAATGACGAAAGCACCTGAGTGTGTCATGTCCTGTTGGATTATAACTTGGCATCATGTAATTTCTGACCTTTACTCAATGGAATTTAGAAAGAGGGTAATCTTATTAAAACTTACAGAATACTGAGAGGCCTGGATAGAGTGGAAGTGGAGAAGATGTTCCCACTCATATGAGAGACTAGGACACACGGCACAGCCTAAAGTTGAAGGGTCAACTCTTTCAAATGGAGGTGAGAAGGAATTTCTTCAGCCAGACGTAGTAAATCTTTGAAACACATTTCCACAGAAGGCTGTGGACGCCAAGTAATTGAGTGTATTTAGGACAGAGATAGATTGATTCTTGATAGGTAAAGGGAGTAAAGGTTACATGACAAAGGAAGGAGAATGGGGTTGAGAAATATATTAAGCTTGATCGAATGGCACAGCAGACTCGGTGTGCTGAATGGTTTAATTCTGCTGCTATATCTTATGACCTCGTGGTAAATTTAAGGGTGGTGAAAAATAACATTGGCGCTTTACTTGGCTACTGATTTTGGCAATAATTCGATAATTCCCTGAATTGGACAACTGAGCAGATTGAACTATTGTGTTAATAACCGGCGGATTCGGTGATTGTGTATATTCAAGGAAATATTAGGATTCAAGCTTTTGACAGGTATCAACGCAATGTAACAGTCATCACTTCATGTATGATTAATAGTTCCCTCTAACTCACAGAGCATAATGCTTCTGTTCTCTGAGAATTCAATTACTACTCCAGGCCAGCTCTCCTTTTCCAGTTTCAGTGCAGGTAATGATTATAAATTTGTCACTGTTGAGAGTTGAGATCTCCTTCAGATCCCAAAACAGTGCAACGTATCTGAGTTTACACATCCTCTCTGTGTGTTTCAGTACGACTGCGCCGATATTAATATTGGCTGCTTTTACTTTCAGTGTATCTGCACTTAATTTTAAATATTCACCATTCAATTAGGTTGATCCTTTATCTTGGCAACAGAAAGCAGCATTACATTTTGGAGGGCACTTCACCAAATATGACACTTCCTTTACCATTTCCAATGTTTGAATTTGATGGTGAACATCACAGATGACTATCTAATCAACAGCTGAAAGGAGTCACTTTTTTTTATCATCAGGGAAATATGATCCATGTTCTTGCCAATTCCAGTATCATGGGTAGCTCATTTGCTGTTTGCCCGTTTTTGTATTTTTTCTTTACTTTTGCAAAAAGTTTTGATGGTTCTATATTCATTTCAAATGTTTTTCTTATTTTGTCAGTTTTACTTTGCACTCATTGAATAATTGTACATTGATATGATATTGACTTATGGTGCTTCTAATCTGAATGACTATCATAAAATGTGAAATAATTGTCCAAACAGAGTGAATAACTTCAATCTTACAAATGTAGTTAAAATGTTCACGTTCAGCTAGGAATGGTCTAAAGCTAGGCCCTTTGGTCGGAGTGTAACTGGTAATTTGTTTGTTCTCACTCTGTCTCATGACCATATTTTCATAAGATCTTTCTCTTTCTCTTTCACAGCTAATTTCACAGTGATTGCAATCCTGCCTTGACGAAGATACGGCCTTTCCTGATGCTTTTCATGTTACCTCGTACCATGGCAGTGATGGATCTCCTGGTTATGCTAATAGCTGTAATCTTAAACCAGGTTGCTAGAAACTATTTCCCATTCAATGTGTTGTCCATAACACCAATATGCTGCTTCCCTTCTGTTATAATTTATGCAACCCTTGACGCTTCTGCCTGGTTAACTGTCACTTTCACCTTCGATCAATTTATGGTTATTTCTTGTAAAATGTTGAAAACACAATATTGTACCAAAAAGGTAAGGTAACAGCATGCAACAAAGGACTTGTGTCATCATAATAGCTGTCTTAAGAATGCCCTTACATATTTTTCATATGAACCTATTTACATAATTAACAGCATATCCTGGTTCTTTGGGTTAAAAACATATTTTATACATTGTGTGCACAGGCAGCATATGACTGGATTTGTGCATCAACCGTTAATTTATACAGGGGTACAGAGTAAGTTCAGAGCTGAGTTAAAGAATGTGGTGAAATATCCACTGAAACTATTTGTCAGACTATTTAAGACTTGAAAATGGGATAGTTTATCATGAACCACACTGTATACTGTAGCATACACAAGGAATGCTGGAGAAATGCAGCAGATCTGAAACCAGCTGCACAGACAGGAAAAGAGTTATTATTTCAATCCTGGTATGAATCTCCTTCTGAACATCATATTAGATTCAAAATATTAACTCCATTTCTCTCTCCACAAATGCTATTAGACTTGCTGAGGTTTGTCAGCATTTTCTGTGTCTTTTTCAAAATTTCTTCTTTTTCCCAGATTTCCAACAAGCTCATTATTTTACTTATACATAAGCATGGCCTCTTCATCTTCATATTACATACATCAGATTCTGACCTGCAATCATTGTTAAATCCTTCCTTATTATGAATTCAAGAAAGCATCAGAAATACTGAATTACCGCCAAGGGACAGTATTCTCAACTGTTCTCCACTTCCTCCCAGAGATAGTAGGAACTGCAGATGCTGGAGAATCTGAGATAACAAGGTGTAGAGCTGGATGAACACAGCAGGCCAAGCAGCATCAGAGGAGCAGGAAGGCTGACGTTTCGGGCCTAGACCCTTCTTCACTTCTGAAGGTCTTATGAGGAAAGGCTGAGGGACTTGAGGCTGTTTTCGTTAGAGAGAAGAAGGTTAAGAGGTGACTTAATAGAGACATACAGGATGATCAGAGGATTAGATAGGGTGGACAGTGGGAGCCTTTTTCCTCGGATGGTGATGGCTAGCATGAGGGGACATAGCTTTAAATTGAGGGGTGATAGATATAGGACAGATGTCAGAGGTAGGTTCTTTACTCAGAGAGTAGTAAGGGCGTGGAATGCCCTGCCTGCAAAAGTAGTAGACTCGCCAACTTTAAGGGCATTTAAACGGTTATTGGATAAACATATGGAAGATAATGGAATAGTTTAGGTTAGACGGGCTTCAGATTGGTTTCACAGGTCGGCGCAACATCGAGGGCCGAAGGGCCTGTACTGCGCTGTAATGTTCTATGTTCTATGTTCTAAAGCAGCATTTATTCACCAACCCTCATTCCACTGTTTGAGCCAAACATCTCTGACTCAGAATATCAATAGAGGCGTATCTAAGACCTACCCTTTTCAGCTGCTATGTCAATGATTTTTGAATTATGTTTGGCATCGACTGGTTGGGCCAAAAGGTCTGTTTCCATGCTGTATAACATTATGACAAGATCAGAATTTGAGTTGCTCACTGATGATTGCACAATGTTGAACACCATTTGGAACTCATCAGATACATTTGGATAGGTACATGGATCAGAAGGGTTTAGACGGATATGGACCAAATGCAGGGAATTGGAACGAGCTGAGGGGGCACCATTGTCAGCGTGGACCAGTTTGGGCTGAAGGGCCTGTTTCCAAGCTGTATTACCCTTTTAATGTACTCTATGACTGATATTTTCCAATGTTCCTACTGCAGCACAACCACAGTGAAGGCAAAGGGAATGGCTTCGAGGATCCCTAACCTTGCTTGTCTATTTTCTTGGCTGCTTGGGTATGCCCGGCTACAATATCAATTTACCACGAGATGCCGATAGCCTTTCAACCAAAACACAAATCAATGGAAAGCTGAATGTATCTTTTGAGACTCGATTGAGCGACAAATGCTACGTACACGCGAGAAATCATACTTCATTATGCTTCAATAAAGGAAGCATAACTGCACGACATTTCTGGAATTTAGATTTTTGCTTTGGTAAATGACTTTCCCCATTGCTTGAAACAGAACAACTTTCGCGTTTAAACATAACATGAAAAACACCAGACTACAGGGAAAATGCACAAAGCTGAGCAGGCCGTGTACAAGATAACACCATGCAGCACACTTATAGTTACCTTGCTTGTTTTGTAGAATAAGCGGCTCATTGAAAGCCATCTATCTGAAAAGCTGAGTTAGCATTAGAATCCGAGCACAACAGATTATATTGTGAGGCTGTTCAAACCTCGGGGCAGGTACAAGTTGCCACTTTCCATGTTTTTCTCATCGACTGTGCATTTTCCTGTTGAGCTTTTCAGATCTGGACCAGAGCAAATGTCATACGGCTGCCAGATGATTTGGAAACCTAAGTGGGAAACCGAGAAAAGCGACTCACTAAATATTATTAAATTCCACAGTCCTTATTTAGAGATGCACAAAAGGCACTTTCTAAACATATTGACAGAACGAAAAGTCGATGAGAGATGTCAAAGAAGCATTAACTGTACGTGATTGCTCTTTGCTCTGGATGTGAAAAGTTGTCGCGCTTGAGACGCCTTCACGTCTCTTGTTGCTGACTGATTAAGAAATGAACAAAATAAACAAAAGAAAGTACAGCACAGGAACAGGTCCTTCGGCTCTCCATGTCTGTGCTGACCATCATGCCCTAATTAGCCTCAAAAGAAACCTGCCATTTTTTGATCTGTATCTTTCTATTCCCTCCCGATTCATGTACCTATCTAAGTGCCTCTTAAATGCCTTCAATGTGCCCGTTTCCACCACCTCTTCTGGTAGCGCATTCCAGGCCGCTACCACTATCTGCGTGAAAAACGTTCCTCGCACATCTCCCTTAAACTTTCCCCCTCTGACCTTGAACCTTTGCCCCCTTGTAATTGAAACTTCAACCCTGGGAAAATGTCTCCGATTATCCACCCTATTATGCCTCAGGAAAGATTTAACAGGATGTTGTCAGGGCTGCAGGGATTGGACTGAAGGGTGAGGCTGAAAAGGCTTGGGCAATTTTGCCTGGAGGCTGAAGGATGAGCTTATAGAAGTTTATAAAATCATGAGGGATATGGATAGGTCGAATAGTCAATGTCTTTTTCCTGGGGTAGGAGTCCAAAACTAGACGCCATGGGTTTAAGGTGGAGGGGGAGAAAGGTTTAAAATGGAGCCAAGGGACAATTTTTCATGCAGAGGGTGGTGCGTGTATGGAATGAACTGCCAGAGGAATTGGTGGAGGCTGGTACAAATACAACAATTAAAAGGCATCTGGATGTGTGCATGAATAGGAAGGGTGTACAGAGATAAGGAGCCAAATGCTGGCAAATGACACGAGATTAATTTAGGATATCTGGTCGGCACCGACAAGTTGGACCAATGGGTCTGTTTTCCTGCTGTGCATCTCAATGACGCTATAATTGCTGACACCCATTTGAATGTATTATTTTTAGCCATGCTAGCACCCCTCTCTGTGAGCACAAGGTTAGTGTGTTTGGCTATTTACAGGAAGTTTGGTGTTTTGAATCCACCCACACACGAAGGGCTTCGTTATTTTAGCCTCCAGTGACCGTTCTCCATTACACACTCTCAGTGAGGACTTTGACCGCAGGAAGATACCTCACAAACCATTTCAGCTCCTCAGGTATCGAGGGAATCTCCAAACAGACCACTCTTAACGCGTAACAGAAGCAAAAGTGACAAGCCAAACACGTTTCCAGACACACCGTAGCATGAATGCTGTCTGTGACACATTTCAAGCAGTCTGGGCCACGAACCTCATACACTTCTGGCAGGAAGGCAATTCCAAACTGCACCTCCACACATGCTGGAGCCTTAGTGGACCGCCACTTTCCGGAATGTGTTTAAGTTGTGCGGGGGGTGGTGGTAAGAAAGAACAGAATAAGAATGACCCATAAAAAATGAAGATTACCAATGGCAGGCTCAGTTAGATTAAGTTTCCCTTCTGATCAACAGTGCGGGTGTGCCTGCATCGCACGGATTGCAACGGACCGAGAAGGCGGCTCACCAGCCACCACTCTAGGATGGAAATGAGAGAAACTTAACAACATTTCATATCACAATTAATTGGAACTACCTTGCTTTTCGCCATAATAGCAAATAATGGCGAGTAGATTCAATGCAGGATTTTGTTTCACAACAGCAGTGCAATAATGGTCTCCATTCACTTTCAGTGAAAAGTGTGGATGACGCAAATTGCAGACTATCTCAATGCAACATCCGGACTAACTCAATGTGACTGATATCCCAGGGCACCCAGATCTGTCTCTCCCTCTGAGTCCTGTAATATCTCACCATTTAAATTAAAGTCTCTTTATCAATTTTACCTGACAAAATAAGAACATAAGAACATAAGAACTAGGAGCAGGAGTAGGCCATCTGGCCCCTCGAGCCTGCCCCGCCATTTAATAAGATCGTGGCTGATCTTTTTGAGACTCAGCTCCACTTACCGGCCCGCACACTATAACCCTTAATTCCTTTACTGTTCAAAAATTTATCTAGCCTTGCCTTAAAAACATTCAGCGAGGTAGCTTCAACTGCTTCACTGAGCAGGGAATTCCACAGATTCACAACCCTTTGGGTGAAGAAGTTCCTCCTGACTTCAGTCCTACATCTGCTTCCCTTTATTTTGAGGCGATGCCCTCTAGTCCTAGTTTCACCTGCCAGCAGAAACAACCTCCCTGCCTCCACCTTATCTATTCCCTTCATAATCTTATATGTTTCTATAAGATCTCCCCTCATTCTTCTGAATTCCAATGAGACAAGCATCACACTCTTTCTTATACAGACAATGTTTTACCCACTCACTCACGTTTTCCACATCTTGAATAACTCTTACGTCCTCTTCACAAGTTACTTTCTAACATATTTTCACCAAGAAATGTTCAATTTTTAAATCAAGTACTGACCTGAACTAATGACTTTGGAATTCTAAATGTCCTTCTGTCTCTCCCTGTCCCTTGATTGGTGTATGTCTGTCCATTTCTTCCTCCTCCCTCAGAATATCTGTAAATTCCCACATTCCGCCATCAGCCTTTGATTTGGTTCTTGCTGTCTATGTTCCCGATACCATTATATGAAGACTCTCTCACTTTGCTAGTCCCGTCTCTTAGTTGTAACTGGCAACCTATCAATTTGTGAAGTAGTTCTATTCTTGCTGAGATTATTGAACCAGTCAGATTTTGACCTTGTGGTATCACAGTCGAAAGTTCAGGGATGTGCGTGTGCACGTATGCATGTGTAAACGCGTCCGTGTGTCCGTGTGCATATGCGTGTCCGTGCGCACGCATGCCCTCGGGCAAAGCCGTGGTGGTGTCAGATGCGAATAGTTGAGAAGGAGTTTAAATCAGCATTTCTCCTCCAATTACCCCTTCCCCTTCAAACTTTTGATTGGCACATCAAGGCAACTTTACTCTGCATCAATCTCGATGCTTTACCTGTACAGGGAGATGGGAATAAACAGAGCTTTACAACCCGGTGCTCTACTTGCCCAATGACTGTCTGATGGAGACAGTGTAAAGGGAGTTTTACTCTGTATCTAACTCCATTCTGAGAATGTTTGATGGGCATTGTGTTGACAAATCTTTACTTTGGAACACAGGAACAGGAATAGGCCATTCAGCCCCACGATCCTGTTCCATAATTCAATGAGATCATGGCTGATCTATGGCCTAACTCAACATACCTTCTTTTCGCCCATTTTTCCTAACACCTTTTACTTAACAAGAATAAGCGAGATCAGATTTAAACTGAACAACAGATATAGCATCCACTGCCTTTTGTGGAAGAGCGTTCCAAACATCTACCACACTTTCTGTGTAGAAATGCTTCCTAACATCTCTCTAGAATGCTCTGGCCCTTATTCTCAGACTACACTCCCTCGTTCTAGAATCCCCAAACAGTGGAAATGATTTATCTTTATCTGTCTTGTCCTGTTAACGTCTTGAAGACTTCAATCAGATAATTCCTTAACCTTCTGAATTCTAGAGAAAACAGACCCCATTTGTATAATCCCTCCTCAGAATGTAACACTTGAAGTCCAGGTATCATTCTTGTAAACCTACTTTACATTCCGACTTGATAACCATGCCTTGCTTGCAATGAACTCCATCTTATACAGTTCACCCATTCACCCAGTCTATCAATATTCTTTGGAAGTTTAATGCTATTATCTGCACTATCTACAATGCTGTGTATTTATGCATCTAACACCGTGCTGTACCTGTTCCTGGGAGTGTTCAATAGGGACAGTCTGGGGGAAGAGGGGGCGGCTTAATCAATATCTAATTCAAAACGCTGAACATGGCCTGGGCATTTGAAAACCCCTGCAGTGCTGAAGGAGCTTTACTCTGCCCCTTACAGGTAAAGATCAAGCAGGGAGTGCTGAAGGATCGTCAGTCCTTGGGTTTGACTAACAGTTTTGAGACCCTTGCTCCCTGTTTGGAAAAGAGTGTGGGCTGCAGGGAGGATGAGCAAACTGTCCACAGTACTGTGGTACAGGGAGCCGCTCATGAGTGGGGGAGAAAAGAGAAATGTAGTAGCAATCTGGGTAGTGTAGTCAGGGTAAGACACTGTTCTCTGTGGCCAGGATCAAGAGTCCTAAAGGCTATTGCCTGCCTGGTATTCGAGTTCAGGATCTCTTACCTGAGCTGCTGTGGAACTTGGAATGGGATGGGAAAGATCCAGTTGTTGTGGTCCATGTACATACAAATGATACAGGTAATTGAATGCAGTCAGGATAAGAGCCCACTGCTGAATTTGACATGAAGCTATGGGTGGCATGGCCCTGGCCTCTTTAAGCAGCCCTTGCAGGGGTTTGTGATGCGTTACTTTTAAAAATGTGGATACATAAAGAATTCGGTGGAATTTTCTCACAGCAAAGATGACTGCAGAACTTTCCTTCTCTATCTAGGCATATTGTCATTCGGCATCAGCCAAAGTCCAGAAGGATATGCTATTGGGTGTTCTTCTCCATAGGGCCATCTATGAGCCAATACTACCCCGATACTGTACAGGGAGGCATTGCATGTCAGCACCGCATCTCACTTGGAATAGTAGTGAGCCAAAACCTTAGGTGACGATAGCTGCTTCTTCACTTCCCTAAAGGTGACATCTTTACTCTGAGACCATTTCCAAGACTGAACCTTTATCAATAGCAAATGTAAGAATGCCAGGGTAGAGGTCAGGTTACTTATGAATTTTCCATAATAATTCACCAACCCAAGGAAAGATCTAAGATCCAGTACGGACCTGGGAGCTGGTACACCTTTGATCACCCTCACCTTATCATCCAAAAGGGTGTAACCTGGTCTTGTTGATTCTGTGGCCCAAGTAGGTCACTTGGTGTGACTGGAACACATTTTTTCCCCTTCTAAGGCATACACCCACCTTGGAGAAATCTGTAATCATTACGTCCAAGTGCTCTTTCATGGTCTTCCCGGTTATTAACACATGATTCAGGTAAATTGCGACATTGGGTAGACACAGAATATAGAACATAGAACAGTACAGCACAGTACAGACCCTTCAGCCCACGATGTTGTGCCGAACTTTTACCCTAAACCTAAGGTCTATCTAACCTCCACCCCTCCCTTATACTATCATCCATATGCCTATCTAATAGCCGCTTGAATGCCCCTAATGAGGCTGACTCCACTACCCTCTCCGGCAATGCATTCCACGCCCCTACCACTCTCTCAGTAAAGAACCTACCTCTGACGTCTCCCCTATATCTACCTCCACTCACTTTAAAACTATGCTCCCTCGTAATAGCTACCTCCACCCTAGGAAAAAAAGTCTCTGGCTGTCCACTATCTACATCTCTGATCATTTTGTACACCTCTATCAAGTCACCTCTCATCCTTCGTTGTTCTAAAGAGAAAAGCCCTAGTTGTCTCAACCTTTCCTCGTAAGACTTTCCCTCCATTCCAGGCAACATCCTGGTAAATCTCCTTTGCACCTTTTCCAACGCTTCCACATCTTTCCTGTAATGAGGCAACCAGAACTGGATGCAATACTCCAGATGTGGCTGGAGCATAACTTCACGACTCTTGAACTCAATCCCTCTATTAATGAAAGCTAACACACCATATGCCTTCTTAACAACTCTATCCACCTGGGTGGCAGCTTTCAGGGAACTGTGGATAAGAACCCCAAGATCCCTCTGCTCCTCCACACTGCCAAGAATCTTTCTGTTAACCCTGTATTCTGCTTTCAAATTTGTCCTTCCAAAATGAATCACCTCACACTTTTCAGGGTTAAACTCCATCTGCCACTTCTCAGCCCAGCTCTGCATCCTATCAATGTCCCTTTGTAACCTAGAACAGCCCTCCGCACTATCCACAACTTGACCCACCTTCGCATCATCCGCGAACTTACTAATCCACCCTTCCATTCCTACATCCAAATCATTTTAAAAAATCACAAATAGAAGAGGACCCAGAACAGATCCTTGTGGTACACCACTCGTAACTGAGCACCATGTTGAATATTTTCCGTCCACTACCACCCTTTCTCTTCTAAGGGTCAGCCAATTCTGAATCCAATCTGCCACATTTCCCCCTATCCCATGGCTACTTACTTTCTGCATGAGCCTACCATGGGGAACCTTATCAAACGCCTTCTTAAATCCATGTATAACATATCCACTGCTCTATCTTCATCCACGTGCTTGGTCACCTGTTCAAAGAATTCAAGAAGATTTGTGAGGAATGATCTACCCCTCACAAATCCATGCTGACTATCACGAATAAAACTGTGCCTATCCAAGTGATCATAAATCCTGTCTCTCAGAGCCCTTTCCAATCATTTGCCCACCACTGAAGTAAGACTAACTGGCCTGTAATTTCCGGGGTTTTCCCTATTTGCTTTTTTGAACAAGGGAATGACATTTGCCACTCTCCAATCTTCCAGCACTATACCTGTGGACAGTGAGGATGAAAAGATCATCACCAAAGGCCCTGCGATCTCTTCCCTTGCTTCCCATAGAATCCTTGGATAAATCCCATCAGGCACGGGGG